TTATAATGCTTCTTTAGGAAGGAAGCCTGACAGAGCTGGGAGTAACTCCCCTTTGCTTTCCTTTCTCACTTGTTTATAGATCAAACCAAGTCACCAACTAAAGCGCATTTTTTTTTTTTAATTTCCTCAGGGCTGCTACAGTGTTCTACTTGTTTTGATTCCTGCAGAAACAAAGGATAGAGACAGTGTCTCTCCAGTTTCCTTAGATTTTGAAAACTGAGAAGGATATGTGAAGAGTAAATGGAAAATGGAATCAGAGAACAGCTCTTCTGGAATTGCCCAAATTTATAGACACAGAACAGATACACACAGGGAGGACCCACCTCTTAGGGAATCCCTCTGGAGAAACAGACTTTCACAGACCCCTCATCTCATTCCAATCCTGAAAATGGAATTTTATGGCAAGGAGGGTGTGTCTAAGCACAGGAGAACTCAAAACTCCAGGGAGACAAACGGAGCATCACAGGAAACACTTCTTAGGAGGCTTCTCCTGCAAAATCCTGCAGCTTTCAAAGGCACCCAGCTGAGCGATGAGGCAAGCTCAGACCATGTCCTTCCTGCCATAACTGAAAAAAGAAAATTGAATTATAAGCACATGCGATTTCTTCTCAGAGCCAGGTCAGTCTTTGGAAAAAGCACAGAAATAAAGCTGAATTCCTCCGCTCTTCCTGCCCAGTTGCTATCATTATTTACAAAGTGGGGTTCTTCTCCAGACCAAGTTTATTCTGGAGCATAACTCAATACACTGCTGTTGTTGTGGACATTGTGTGTGTGTGGGAGGGGTGGCAGGTGTGTAGGTAATAGGCCACCAACAGGATTAAAATGTTGGATTATTTGACAAAAGATGGTTGCCTGTGTATTATGGTTGGAACCTATTATAATTGCACAATACATTGTGTCATGTTGCATAAAAATTGAACAGTCTGAGCACAGGAGATACAGTCTCAGCACTATGAAGCTACCCATAGCCACTGTAGCACGAGTTTGATCCCCGGCCAGGGAGTGGACCCACATGGCACAGCAGACCTCTCCTGTCCCCCTGCTGATCCCTTCAGCAGTGTATTTTAGTAGATCCACCTGTTCTGCTCCCTGCTCTCTCTCTGGTTAATCCTCTCACCCCCTGCACCACACCTCTGTCCTGTACCCCAGTTCTTGTATGCATAAATAAATAAATAAATAAAATAGATCTTTTAAAAAATGGACATTTCTTTTTTTTTTTTAAAGATTTATTTATTTATTTATACAGAACTGGAGTACAGGCCAGAGTGCGGAGGGTGAGAGGATTCACCAGAGATAGAGTGGGGAGCAGAACAGGCAGATGATCAAAGTATACTGCTGAGGGGAGCAGCTGGCGGGTCAGGAGAGGTCTGTGTCGCCATGTGGATCTCCTCCGGGGCAGGTGGGGATTGAACTCATGCAGCAGAAGTGGCTTAAGCTTCTTAGTGCTGTGCTTTAACCTGCTGCGCCACCAGGGAGGGCCCCCCCCCCAAAATGGACATTTTTATCGTTATTATTAATGATTGAAACTTCCCTCACATAAGAAAACGAGTTATATTTTCATAATTCCTATAGGAATTCATACTCTTGCATTTAAGCATTTCTATAATTATCAGAATTTATATCCATCAGTAGTAGAACTTGGAAAGGAGATTGAAAATCTGATAAGCTAGAAGTATTCAGGGTTTTCCAATGACGATTGAGCTACACCTGCCTAGAACTCCTTTCTAATTGGTCAGTTCACTATTACCTAATCAAAATCACCTGTAAATTAACATGTTACCTGAGTTAATTGCACAGATACCAAGAGATACAATAAAAAATAGATGTATTGGCCCTCCCTGTTGGCGCAGTGGGTTAAAGCACTGCACTAAGAAGCTAAACCCACTTCCACATGAGTTCAATCCCCTTCTGCCCCAGAGGAGATCCACATGGCGCGGCAGACCTCTCCTGACCCGCCCGCTGCTCCCCTCAGCAGTGTACTTTGTAGAGCTGCCTGTTCTGCTCCCCACTCTGTCTCTGGTGAAGCCTCTCGCCACCCCTGAGCCTCTGGCCTGTGCCCCAGTTCCATACGAATAAATAAATAAATCTTTTTTTTTTTTTTAAAGATGTATTTATGCGTAGAAGAACTGAGGTGTAGGCCAGAGGTATGGGGTTAAGAGGATTTACAAGAGACAGAGTGGGGAGCAGAACAGGCAAATAGACTGAAATCCACTGCTGAGGGGAGCAGCAGGGTGACAGGAGAAGTCTGCTGTGTCCTGTGGGTCAGCTTCCTGGATCAGGATCCAACTGTTGCTGCAGTGGCTTCTGGTAGTTTCATAATACTGCGATTTAGCTCCTATGCCCTCAGGGAGGCCATGATGGAGAATTGTATCCCCATCCCTATTAGCTACATGAAGTTCAGCAATGAGAACAAGTTTGTAGTTTTGAGAACTTGTGTCAACGATTTACACGTATGGTGCATGAAAATCTTTCCACAAAGTCACCTGGCATTGTGGTTTGCCTACTGCCTTTTGCGGAGGTAGTCTGAGTCTGCTTTTGAGCCCTGGGATTTAGTCTTTCCTCTGAGTCTGTTTTCTCATATATGAATGTAGATTTAAAAACAACACTTACATCTTAGGATTTATATTTATTAAATATGTCTGCTCTCATATGATATAAAGGATGTTTCTCTTGTACAGCTGAAAAGCACAGAATGTCTTTCATCACTGCACACTCCCAGCCTACAGATGTACAGTTGAGTGACAAGAAGTTTCAGAAAGATAGAGACTTGCCAGGTGTTGCTCAGGGTCTGGTAGATTCACTCCAGAACTGACCTCCTTGATTGCAGCACTAAAATGCCAACTCAACATTCCTTTCATGGATGAGGTAGCTAGTTAGTGCAAGCACCAACTCAAACTTGGAGGATGTGAAGATTAAGGCTTATCTCAACATCCACTGTAGAAGGCACAACCGTGGCCACTATCTTCAAAGTGGACCCAATTATTTATGTTCTCCCACCTCTCCAGCTCCTCCTCTTCATTTGAATGTTTTTCTCATTACAAAATAATGTGCTGATCACAAGGAGTGGGGGGGACATGAAACTAGGCTAGTTGTGATAGAATGTGAAACACAGTCATTCACAGTCCAGGTATCAAAATGAGGAAGTCCATATCTCAGCAGGATTTGTTCCACACCTTACACACCCAGCTATGAATTTTAAATGTTAGAAGCAAAGACCTAGAAAATTCAATGACTTCTACCTTTCTTATAAAGCTGCATTGGTGTGATCATGTGAGGGATGAATTAGCATAACAATGGCTTGTTACATGGTGTTGTGAAAGGTGTATATCACTTTGCCAGGTGTGTACACATTTCAGGAGGCTAGAGGCTGATCCAAAGAACTTCCCTACAATTACACCTTACAAAATTGTCTCTGGTCTTCTCCAAAGGAAGAAGTCCATGGAGTCATCATGGGAGTGAAATGCAATTGGACCAAATAAAGATGACAAGAGTCCATGCACTCTGTCTAGACACAGAAACAGACAGAGATCTTACTATTCTAACATGACATTCATGCTCAGTAAGGCAGGTGGCAACAAGAGTCTACATGTTAAATAAAATAGCAGCAGCATCAGAGACCGTAGAGTAATATCAGCATAGGTGAGCATGATGGGGCACAATTAGATAGAGTTTCCTGCTTATGCTTAATGTTTCAGAAGAAAGTCACAACGACCCATGCAAGATGGGTCGTGTGGTAGTGATAATATAATGAGATATTTCTTCCAAAATCAGCTCACATTTAAGCTAAGTGAAAGGCATCATCATGAACATTCCTCCCAGCTTCTTAGAGAAAGGATATGTACATATGTGGTCGTTTATAAAACTTTTCTCTGAACACATTTAGATTTGGTTTTGTTTTGAACATGATTTTATCCTCCAAATTCTCAGCCAGCCAAATCTGTGCTTTATCGCCTTGCTTTAGTATAAAGCTTGAGCAAGACCTTTCAAAACAACTTCCTGTCTGGCTTGTTTAAAACATACCTCCTCAGTGTCTCTGAGCTAAGCCGCAGGGAGCATATGAAGTCAACAAGTATAAGGTGAAAATAAATAACCATCTAGTTTGAACAAACCACTTGCCTTCAGTCATTATTTTCTGGCTTTGCTTCAATTGTGCCCAACAAAGTTCTTTAGCTATCTTATCATCACACTCCTTGAAGGTCACCCTTTAAAGATTACCTTGTTTTGAAGTCCTAAACACCATGCATGTGAAAATGACCCAGGTATTATCATATATTGATGATTCATGATGTCCTTCTAGAAATGAAAATGCAGGCATCTAATCAATAAAATAATTTTGAGTCTTTGAACTGATTCCAGGTCAATTTTTCTTGGCAGTTTTTTGGCTTCTTGAATTACATTGACCCAAACCATGAATAATGATCTAAAATTGCACAATATACACAAACCATCTGTTGGGTAGGAACAGGAGGGTGATGTCATGAGGCCACTTCTAATCTCGATTGAATGTCCTGCCAGTGCTGATGTCACTGGTTTGGTAACATATTGGCAGACTCCAATTTGTTCAGGATGAGTGGGTTCAAGAAGGAAATTGTATCAGAGTGGGCAGAAGCATCTCAGTTTTTCTGGATTGCATGTAGATGGGCTACAAAGAAGAGGCAAGAGCTGGCATTGGAAAGACTAGCCTTACTTTACTGTAATGTGATTGGGACCATACTTCACAAGATGTCAGTCCCTGCCTCTGTCCCTGGCAGGATGCAAAGAAAGATATTGTACAAGTTGTCAGGGGAATCAAATACAACTGGGCCAAATAAAGATGACAAGAGGACTTTAAGTATCCAGAAAAAATAATCTGGAAGTCATGCTGAAGGAGTCTATACCATAGATGGACAATGTATAAAGTACAAGTTACTGATGTGTGTGTGTGTGTGTGTGTTTAATAGAAGATACATAAAGTAACCTCTTATTTTTGCTCAGCTCTAATAGATTGATCTTTTTTTCAGGTGCCACAACAATAGTGGTTGAACACTATGGAGAAGTTTTCGAGGAATCAGAAACTACAATGAAAACGACTAAAGAGTGAGATGATACTATCATTCTATAATAAGATAGCCAAACACTTGGGGCATTGTTGGAGAGATTGTAGTAAAAGAACATGAAGAATATGCACAGATAGGATTTATGGCTTCAGAAACTACTGCCTGGACACTAAAATCTTTTGTAGTTTTAGGGAGTTAGCAGGAAAAGCCACATTTAATGTTATTTTATAAAGTTTGCATTTTTGTCTGAATTTCGGCTACACAAAAAAGTATGTTGTAGCTTTAAAATTGTATATAGAGACAACAAAGAAAGGGTCAGACACAGATAAAATTGAAAATCAACCCTTGTAAGGTGACTAGATCAGACACTCATGAGGAGAGGGAGGAGGAAGGAAGAGGGAGGAGGAGGGGAGGGGGAGGGGCAAGGATAGATTTTGGTGGTGAGAGCAGCACAATGGACTGCCGTGGAGGAGTGGGTGTGCTGTGGTGGAGACAGCTGTGGTGACCGCATCTGAGGGGATAAATCAAAATATTAACAAGGAGGTCAAAATATTAACAAGGAGGTCAAACAGAGGTACTTCATTAATAAAAATAAATAAATATTGGTCCTCCCTGGTGGTGCAGCGGGTATTAAAGCACAGCACTGAGGAGCTAAAGCCACTTCCGCATGAGTTCGATTCCCGCCTGCCCCGGAGGTGACCACATGGCGCGGCAGACGATTCCTGACCCTTCTGCTGCTCCCCTTGGCAGTGCGCTTCATCGATCTGCCTGTTCTGCTCCCCACTCTGTCTCTGGTGAAGCCTCTCGCCGCCCCTGAGCCTCTGGCCTGTACCTCAGTTTTGTATGCACAAATAAATAAAAAATAAAAATAAAAATAAAAATAAAAAATAAAATAAATGAATAAATAAATAAATAAATAAAACAAGTACAAAGAAACAGTGGCACAGGGCTCGATTTTCAAATGAACTTTCTTGAATGAATCAAGTTGCGCTGATTTATGGTTTATGGGTTTCTGTTACGAATTTTGAAGTTACATTTAATGAATAGCCGAGGTAGGTTAAAGTATATACTTGCTCTATGATCAAAGTCAAGGGCACTTACAGATGCTGATGCCAATTATGAGTGGAATGAAAAAACGTAATGACACAGTAAACAACTGGGACTTTAGGGTCAACTCAGATGTGAATAAAAACATGGCTAATTTAAAATTAGACACATGTCATATTTTGACAGATTTTATCACTCACATAAAGTAAAGCAAGCATTTGATAATAAGTAACCAGGTGAGAACGTTTTGAAACAGTTTATCTAGAGGCCCCATTCTAGTCGGGTGATATTTTTTTAAGTGATTAGGAAAGGGTATTAGATGGTTTCATTGTAGGTATCATATATAAGATTTAAATTTTAAATTTTCCTTCAGTTTTCACTGCAAAAGGTTGATATCCATACAGTGACATAAATTACATTTAATGTCATTTTAAGGTAATGTAGTTTTCCATTAGGTACAGTAAAAAGAAAGTTTGCACGTCTGAGAAAAGAAAGAAAAACAGATTCCACTCACATATCCCCATTTTTGGGAAAGATTAGAGTCAATTAGTAATTGCAGAATTTTCTCACAATAAAACATATTCATATAAACTTTGGAGAGTAGAATTTGAAGGGCTTGAAGCATTTTACTGTGAAACTATAGACCCAAAACATATCTACATTATGAGATTAAGAAGAATTGCTAAACAATTGTAAACTAATACCAAGAGCCAGAGGGGATCGTCAAGGAAAGAGTTTTCTTGATTGCAGACTAGTTAAGCAATCTAATTAAAATGACTGCTTTTAAAATATGTGCAATTTTGCCAGTGGGAAGTGTGTTTTCTCGTGATAGATAGAAACGTTGATGAGTCCCAGCCAGGAAGCCATTACCGTGACAAAAGGTCACTGGGCTTCATTACAGCAAGCACATGTGTAACTTCCATGCCTTCCCCAACAGTGAAATTTTTTGCAACTCACTAGAGTTTACCTCCTGATACACAACATCCTCCTGATACAGAGACTGTGGAACATGTTGGGCTACATAATCTCTATCTTCTCTTTGCTCTAAAGGGCTGGGTGCATGCTGTGAGGCAGGGGTCACTTGCTGGTGGTGATGAAGTCAGAGACCCGGCGAGAAGGTGAGTTGCATGTGTAAAATGTCCATACCCCATTTTGAAGCGTACACAGACCTTTAAATGCTTCACTTATCTCATATTGTAAACTCCAACTCGAGAAGAAATATTCACCAGACAGGTCATAAATCATGCCCAAAGACAGGTGCAATAAATACCAATGTCAAAAAGTTACAAAGTAAAATTATATTGTTTTGACAAGTCTTCCAGATGCGCTGACAACCGAACCAGGGAATGGTCTCTCTTCTGATAGTCTCCATCACCGGTACATGGGTGGGAGAGGGACCCCAAGCCACCATAGGACCAGTTTCCAGAATTTTCATGCTTGTCAACCTCATTGTCTCTACCAAGACAGAGAAGTCATTGCATTTTAAAATGTTATCTGGGCAAAAAGCATTTAGAACAAAGTCAATTCAAAGTGGCCATAATGACTCTCATGGAAAACTAGTCTATGAATCCAACTGTTGTAAATATATATACATTTATAACATAATTCCCACAAAATACATTTCTATCTAATATAAATTAAATGAATGATACATTCAGTACATTTATATTTAATATCAAATACAATTCTATACACCCATAGATGAGTAAATATTGATTCCATCTTTATCAATAGTAAATGTAAAATGATCAGTGATTCTTTTATAAATATATTACTTAGCCCCTATTTATCATTTAGGGAAATCTGAATTTCAATACACTTCAATGGAAATTATTTTATATGAGATGTGGTTGGTTGTTCTTCTATCCTTTTGACTAGTTAAATTTCACTTCAAATGACTCTTGCATTCTCATTTTCTCTATAACAAATTAGCCTTCATCAAGATTTTATTTAAATGACAGAAATCACAGTATTCTATGTTCATTCATATGAGTGAGAGAATGTTCCATACTTTACCCCACACCCACAGTTATGCATTTATTTTTCAGTCACAGTCCCATGAGAGGTGCCAATGTTATTCATGTAGTGATGGGCCTAAATTTGCATTTATGTTCCTGCTATTGTTATATCTAGCTATTAGAAATGTATTTAGGATCACAATAGTTCATCAAATAGTTCAATTTTCTTAAACAGTTTAGTCTCAAATAAATAATTAGGATAAATTTGTTAGCATTTTAAGAGATAAGAATTATGGATTAAATTACATGTTCTTGCATCGACATGTTAAGTTTGTCCCTGAATGATTCAAATGTACGTTTATTTTTATAACCATCTGTGTCGGTTAGGTGGCCTTATCTCATCCATCCTAATTTTCAGATATTTATTTATATTCAAGTGGCTTTGAATTCAACTGTTGAGTAGAGCATAGTTACTGAGAAAGTTTGAATTTGGGCTAGACCTGACAAAATATGAAAGACAAGCACACCCCCACCTTAAAGCATTTTATTAGGATGCATTTATGTTGACATGGGACCTCATTTCTGTCTTCTAATTTTGTTGCCAGTCTACAATCACACTAAACCAAGATTGGAAGTTTTAAAACAGTTTATAAACTTCCAACATGCAGGTTGTAAAACAAGTCCACTCAAAAGTCATTTCTGTAACACCTCTAGAAATGGCTCTGTGTTGGTAATTTGGTTCCATATCCCTTGGTTCAAATGACACTTCTTTGTCTTTTATGAAAGAAAAAACTGACTTACTCTCTTCTTTATGTTTCAGAGTCCAAAGGGGGGTTTCAGTTACATTATTTTGCATTTATTCCTTGGTCGGTTGAACATGCCTCTATCAAAAAAGTAATAATTATTATTATTATTTTGCTGAGTTGTATGTGGTCACTTAGACTTATGACTGAGGGAAGCAGAAGTTGGGCGTGGAAGGCCTGGTAGCAGTATCCCATAAACCTGGCCAATGTGTAGCCCTGGACAGAATGTCAGCCATAAATGAACGCACTTGGAGGGCAAAGGTCATGGTATGTAATTAGCACAGGCCATTTAAAGAAGAATAAGAAAATAATGTTTTACAAGCTGGTAGAAAGAGAAGCAAATAATCATTTAAATGTTCCAATTGTGAGTTCCGTTGTGTGTGTGGTTTATTTTATAAGTAACTTTCTTTACTGGCAAAAGGCATGGTGATACTAAAAAAAAGTAAGCACCAAAAAACACAGGCCTGGCTTTAAGATAACTTACATGACTTTATTTCCAGCTCTGTACTTGTTTCCCTAATTCTAAAACTCTTTCTGGCATTGGGCAAATGAAAGTGGAATGAAAGAAAATACGAAAATCTCTTTATGATATGGAAAGCTTTGGGTCAGTTTGTACACGGAAAAGGGATGTAAACTCTGGTCTGTAAAAATGAGGCATTGGTAAAGGAAGCTGAAAAGCTTTTCTCTGGGTAGTTCAGCCACCTAATTCTTAAGTAGTCCATTCCTGTCACTCTTGGGGATATTCAGTTGCCCATTTCATTGAAAATAAATGAAATGAATTTTTAGCTGTCCATTTAGAGTTGCAATTGACTTACGTTTAATGGAGGAAGTGACTTCTGTTCAATATACAGGTAAGTTTAAGTTCATACCTAAAGATCATGGCTTGTAACAGGTTACTCATGGAGTGATGTACTGGGTTGACGTTGACATTCCATGTAGAATAAAACATCTGTTGTCTTCTTCTGAAATTGTCTTCAGCAGTCAATCATTCCTTGCTATACTTTAACTATACAACTGGACAAGCCACAGTTGTTTCTTTCCAGGTACAAGTTTGATTTTATCATGCTTCCATTTAAAATCATTTCTTCTTGGCCACATTACTAGGGAAGTTGTAGTTTAAAGCAAAAAGTTGATAATGGAGACTTCACTTGGCAAGGATGCTTTGAGTTAATTCAGATGAAAACCTGGGAACTGGATTCCATTCTGTTTCCTATATAGGCAGTAAAAGAACAAATTAATGGGGTGAAACAAGATCTCTTGCCTGCTAAGTTCCAAGGAACCTATGTGATATTTAATTACTTACAGATATTGAAACTTTCTTCCAGAAATCTTTATTTTTTCTCAATATTTTATTGTTCATTTTTTGCTTTTTTTTTTTTTTAAGTTAGTACAGGTATAAAGATAGTATACAGCTTATAGGACCTGAGGTCTAATATAGAAGAGTCATATATAAAGAACATTCTTCCTACTAAATCAAGATATCCCTGTCATACAAATAAATCACCAAACATTTAACAGTGGGTTGTGTGTAAATTGACTCTCATGTGAGAGTTAAACTTTATTATTACTTTAATTTAATTTCATACTTTATCTTACATACCAAATGGCATAATCTGGGTGGCTTAATTTTAAGTCCATGACAACTAAAATCAAATAGGAGATTCATATATTTCATGGCCATGGTTTAGAGGACTTCATCTGAGCAACCCTAAATACAATGTAATAAATTTAATTGTGGCTTTACTGAACATGTTCTTATGAATTAATTCTACAGGATCCTTGCCCTCTCTTAAGTTTTAACTTCTTATAAGAAGAGAGAAAAATCTCAGGAAACTGACCACACAGTTGGTTAGGACCACACAAATTGTCCATTTATTATTCTGTAAATACTTCATATAATGCATCTGTTTCCCAGCAAGATTGTAAACCCCTTGAGGACAAGAATTATAAACTACTGAAATTCCTAGCAATTTTTAGAGCTAATACGGAATCTATCATATGTGTTTATTGATGGTTTTGATTGAGTTGTTAAGATTTACCCTCTTGGTTGTGGAAAACATGAAATAGAGCAAGAAACAGACAAACCTTGGGTGCATTTTCATATATTTTTTAACCTACTATAAAATATATGGGGTCTTGATAAATTCAACAGGTTTGCTTTTTGTACCTAAAAACACATTTAAACAGCCTAACACCCATTTTAACAGCTACTGTTTAATTATAAAAACAACATATGTGCTTTGAGGAAAAACATTAGAATTAAAAACATGCAATAGGGCAAATAAAAATTATCTTTAGGCTCAATACCAGAGAAAAAGGCCACTTAATTTATGTGTATTAACCTATATGTAACTTCCAGAATTTTGAAGTGGTGAATCCCACTGGAGAGGCAACTTCACTATTTTGCTTTTTTCACCTATGTGAATGCATTGAGAATTACCTTGGCTAATTAAGTAGTCTAGAAAATACTTTAAGTAGGCCTATCTTTTACAGCAAGACTAAGATCCATTGTCAGTTTCTTTCTTTTTTTCTTCTTTTTGCTTTTATTTTTGTGATATCATAAGGAAAGATGTGCTATCACCACCAATGATGGCATCTGTGTGTGTTTTCTTAATTATTTTGTTTGGATAAATTTGGAAACATGAGACAATAAACAAAAACCAATTCTTGCTCATTGTGCTAAACTATGCCAGTTGTTTTGAATGATGTCTATTGTCCAAGCACTTGATAAATAGCCACTTGGTCTTTTGTGATCATCTCTTCCCTTCTCTGCTCCCGGTACCCACATGGCCTGGCCATTATCTTCAGCTATTTAATACCAAAGGAATTCCTGCTAGGCATATGCCTTTCTCCTTTACTTCTTACCCTTTGGAGTAAAAAAAAAAAAAAAAAGATATAATCATTTAGAACAGCAGGTCCCTACAGGGAGCATGAACATTTGCTTTTAATCTGAAAACAAAGTTTATATTAAACTCAGTAAACAAAATCAGGGCTCTTGCATAAATAATAATTTGTGCATATCATTTTCATTTTTTGCTGACACTTTTGACTCTGGTCTTGATCTTTCGCCAGGTTGTGAAACTGGAGGGCAAAGTGCAAAGTTCAAAAGTGGCTGTTTGCCTCCAGGTTTCTGGAAAATAAAACATCAGCGGAAGTCCGCTGAAGTAATTTGAGGAAACTTTTTTTTTCAGCTAGGAAGGATGTCATTATTCGGTTTCTAAGGTTAAGTCTGCTTAGAGAAAAATAATAGAGTGAAAACAGGCTTGAAACATTAGAAAGCTGGCAGAGAACATCTTACAGAATTCTGTGACTTAGCGCAGATATTTGCAATTTCCAAGGAAAACCTTTCCTTCGTTGA